AAAAAAACTGCAAAGCCTAAACTGTCAAATGATGATGGCCCCACATTTCTCCAAATGATACTTGAAAGGAAATAGAAAAAAAAACATGTGTATAGTGACTTTTGGGACAGCGGTATACTTTATATACATCCCGTGCACATTTACACAATTGTCTAAAATACATTTTAGACTCACGAGGTCGCTCTCCAAAAGAAATATTGTAGATTTCCAATTAAAAACTCTGTTTTCCTGTTATTTTTAATTTATATTTATCCACGTGTTTTTCTTTCATCAAGGAAATCAATTGGTTATGAGAACCACCACAAATTTTGTTTGACGCATGAGTTCAGCAACGGCATGTTCGCAGAATGATTTACATGTTGCATGATCATTAAATCTGAACTTTACAGCCCACTTGGAAATATGAACATTGTCTGCCAACGCCATGTAAGAATGTCCTAGCATCTATAAATAGAAGGATACACCACCAAGTCGAAGCATTATTGGCTTTTTAAAATATGTCTTAGAATCAATCCGAATAAATTAACCTGTAAAGAATGAAGTGTTCCAGTGATTCTACTGTTTTTGGAGATGCGGTTTACATCTTGTTTCTTCTGTCCCTGCAGTGGACATGGAGGAGTTGCAAGTGATTAAAAAGGAGCTGACTCTGATAAAGACACAGATCGATGGGCTGCTTGACAGTCTTGACAGGATGGATACACACACAGGCGACCATAAAGGTGAGGCTTTCACTCCGAAAAGCCTGCGGTGGCAAATAGGTGGAGGGGAGGTCAAACGATACATCATCTATTTTCACGTCCCAAACATTTTAAGGCTGACTCCAGTGAAATGCAGGATTTCAGATTTCTGCTCAATTTGTTCCATGAGTCACACGCTTGATCAAAATCATTCAGGAGCCGTTGCTTCTGCGCGATTGGGAGATTGGGGTGGTGTTTACCTGACAAACCCATTATTTTTTCCACCAGTCAGGAATTTTGAAATGTTGAACAAGGTCGATATCAACCGCAGTGGGGAGATGGGGACTTATGGCAGTTTAATAACATGCTGAGCAAACAGTGTGCTTGGAAGCACTGTGACAGATGATGCCTTAATATTGAACAATGCAAAATTGGAACAGCACAACAGTACACACACGAGAGCTGTTGCTGCCCTCGTGTGGACATCTGAAGACATTATAGCCACGTCGCGACACGAATATGCTTCTGAAGAAATTGGCTCATTGGGCTCATTAAAGAAAAAAAAAACATCCATCCATCCGCTATCTGGTCCACTTAACCTCGCGGAAGTGCTGGAGCATGTCCCGGTTGTCTTCGAACGGTTGGCGTGGTACACTCTGAACTGGTTGCCAAAACTAAATACTTCATCTTAATGAGTCGTTCATGACGATTCAGCTCTTAAGGCGGACAGCTTGGTTTCAAGTAGGACTATTTAGTTACATAACGACTGATACTAAAATATCTTATGTCTGTGTGTCAACCGAATAGCTCACGTTTACTGTAAATGCTGCATCTCAATCCAAGCAAAAATATGTCAAATTTTACCCTAAAAATAACAGCTTCAAAATTATTGTGATGGTTGACTCTGCCATTACCGCGAAGGCTTCAGATTTTTGCTTTAGTGGTGGTGGTTATCCATATCAATGAAAAACATCAAAATGCTTGCAATGTTTCTAGATACGATGATTCTTAGCCATCCACAAATGCTGAATCAAGGCAACTAAACTCGTCTTGTGTGTTGATTTTTTTTTTTTTTAAATAAAAACGTTCAAAAAGGAATTGGAGAATTACCCTATTACGTGTAAACGGTCTCTTCTTTTGTTTATTTATTAAACTTGTTTTATCTTTTATCTGTTTTCTTGTTTTCCAAAAACGCTCAAAAAGGATCAGGCAATTACACTCTTAGGCTGACAATTTACACCAATATGTCTGCCAATGTTACGACAACTTTCAGACAAAAATGCTACCCTTAGTCTTCCATCTTTTTAAAATGTATGAATAATAATGGATAAACTATTTGTGAGTTATTGATAAACATGTATTTATGAAACGGAACAATTATAACACTTAGTGTGGGCTCACTATTTGGCAAGTTTAAACTACCTATTTTGCTATTTTTCTTTTTTCTTGATCAGGCAATGTTTATGTCAAAATATTAGACTCGACAAGAGTTTGTATTTACCATGTAGCCTACGTATACCCACTGATTTGGCTCTTCACTTGACATTAACCTTCAACATTGTCATAGTTATTTGAAAGTCACATCTCACATCTTTCGGGTGGTGCCTGCACACAACAATGTACATTTATCTACAATCTGTCACTCAGCCCATTTCTTGATGGAGCAACATACAAACAATACTGTACATTATTCAGCATTTCACAGCGTCATACAAAAAAAAACAACAAAAAAAACTTGATGCCTCCTTCAGACTATGGCTTTCTTTCCAGCCATCGTTTCACGTTTGAAAGTTTTCCCTGTTCCTTGGCAGGCTCCTCTTTGAGGGAGGATAGTCCATCTTGCTCACTGTACGCCAGCAGTCCAGAGCACTCCCTTTCTTCCCTCTCCCCACCCAGCTCCCGCCATCAAATCCACAGGGAGACCGCAGTACCGAGAGGGCCCAATGAAAACCACCATATGGTAAATGAAAACAAATCCGATGAGACATCATAATTCTAATGTCCTTATGTTTTTTGTTTGGTGACAGGATTCCATGTCCTCATGGGCCAATTTGTAAGATAGAAAACAAAATAACTAAATCCGGTTTTGTGGCTGTCTTTTGGGTATACACTTACGGTAACTCCATTGAGTTATATTGAGCTGGTTACCGTGTTTCGAATATTTCGATAACTTGAAGTCTATTAAGGTCATCACTGACGGTGTTACAGCGTGGATTTAATTCCCACTCAGTGTGAATGTGAAATGTTGTCTGTCTTTACAATATGTGCCCTGTGATTTAGTGAGCAATCCACCTTTTGCTCAAGTCCAGCTCTCCACAAGCCCAAACAGAATAAGCAGCATAAAAAACGGACTTCAAGGAAATTAAGGAAACGTTCTGAATGCATAGTCTCAACACCACCGCGTAATCTGTTTTCACTCAAGTCATTCTGAGTGTGCCGTTTCATAAAGCTTCTCTTTGTTTTATGTGGCAGATGAACAATCACAGCTCAGACCCCGAGGAGGAAATATGAGGCTTGAAGAGAACAAATTGCAGAAGACACGGATGGCGTAACAAATGTTGTAGAAGAGAACAGCAAACGATCAAGCCAATATCTTTATTCCACTGGGAGTGCACATATCAAACAACACTGTAAATTTGACTTGTTTCTGCAGCTATAGCTGTATTTTAGAGAGAAAAAAAGAAACAACAACACAAATGGAAATATATTCATACATGCAAAGGAGAAGATGTTTTAGGATGGACTGAGCCGGAAGGAGTTAAATCTTATTATTTGTATCATACTGGTAGTTGTGAAAGACAGCTGGAGGCAGAATCCTGCAACCGTTTGCATTCCTATTGTGCTGTGCCACTGTATTTGCATGAACACAAATGCTCCCAAATAAAGTATCGCAGCGTTAATCCAAATGAGGTATTGGAATCCCCTGGTAAGAACGTCAAAATAATCTGGTTCTAATTTCTGTTTATCACAATCATTTAAGCCTTCTTTTGAATGGCGTTGAACATGTCAGGCAAGATCATACATGGCAATTTTTTGCGTGGCTAAAAGGACAAGAATGTTTCTGCTGCCTCGTGGGTTTTACTTGAGCAAGGACAGAAAAAGAATGATTTAAAAGGGTCCTCAGTTTAGACTTTAGTCCATTTAACTGAATGAGGAACACTGAAAAAGCACATGCTGTTAAAACAATGTGCGCACCTCACAAACTTAGTATTTTCAGAATGCAGTATGAATGTACTGTTTACATGGAAACGAATTCTCCGTCACTCAAACGCACATGCCATACATTTAAGGTATCGAATCTCACAGTGCAAATAATTTATAGAGATGAGTCACTCACCTGGCAGTTACTCAACACAGAGGGCAATTCTGTTATTCTGTATGTATTAGTATATACCATTTTGGAGTCATTTTCGTACTTTAAAGAGTTACGAAAATGCTACAACTCTCCTCCACCGTGACTTTGGCACAGTCGTGTCAAAGTGCTGTGACCCAGGTCAGTGTGTAATTTTGTGCATTATTGTAAACTTAACTGTAAGTGTTCAACTGTCTAGTTTCACTTTTGCTTTATTTTGTACCAAAAAAAAAAATCTGTACAGAAAACAACTGTTATTATAACTTATATGGTGTTACATGTATTTTGTCGCCATTCTTCAGATGAACCAAGTGGAAAATACTCATTGTCACTAGTAAAGGTATTTTCATATTGACTACACACGTCATGGGAGTGTGTTTTTATTTCACTGATGAGGGACACGTGATGACATGGAGTGCAGTGATGCCTTAATATACGAGTTTCATTTATTCTATTACTGTGCTTGTAACTCAATTCTATGATCTTTTCACATTGCAATGAATGTAAACGCGTCTGTTCCAGCCTATCCCCTAAAAATAAAACTGTAGCAATGTGGTTTTTTTTTTGGTTTTTTTTTTTTTTATGAGACGCGCACATTCATTGTGCATCGTTCTGAAGCGCTGTACATCTTATTTGCATCTTACTGCGGATATATCAAAAACAACAAAATAACAAAACCAATTTGAACAAAGACTGACTGAGACCAAGACTAAAAGGGGAGTCATTCAGTAAAATACGATTTTAGATGAAAGCTTGAGCCAAAATAGAGTGCATCCGATATCCATGAAACGACCCAGAGAGCACAACACACGAGAACTCACGTCACCCATTGCATAATTGTCATTTTATAACCATTTCCACTATAAACCGTAAATACACGACACACATAAAACAAAGAGGTAAGCTTAAAATGAGATAATTGTGCTCCTCTTCACGTGGTTCAGCAACAGAACTGCCCACTTTGACAGATTCCGACAAAGTACAAAGTGCTGCAAGCAAATATGAGGAGGAGCTTATTTCTCGCACAACCAGTTCGTTGCTGACGAAAGACGACCTGGGATTGTATTCATCAGCGCACATGAGTGCAAACAGGTTACAGCAACTCAAGAGCCATATTTTTCCTGAAAATAAGGTAAGCATATTGCGTGCTTCACAAAAGATCATTTTTTGACACTCTTTGCAAAGGGATTACATCCTTTATAATGTATTCTTTGAAGCATTTCAAGTCTGGAACTATATTTTACCGAACTAATAAGGTGATTGTCTGGTAGATCAGAGCAATGGCGAGTCCTCTGACCACACACGTGCTGAACACTGCCAAGGGGGTTCCCGTGGCCAATATCGCCCTCAGCCTACATCGACTGGACCACTCAACTGAAACCTGGCTGTTGATTAACGCTGGGTAAAATATCCATCCATCCATTTTCTTGTCCTCACTAGGGTTGCAAGTGAGCCGGAGCCACCAGCCAATCACAGAGGGTGTCATCTTCCTACCCTGCCCCATGAGTATTTAGCTGTGAGCAATGCTAGCATTCCCACATTGTTTAATTCTCTAATCGTCATAGTTCAAATTAGGGTTTTCAATTTGGGTTAGGGGTTCAAATTAGGGTTTGAAACTATAGTTGGGGTTTTAAATTAGGATTTCAAACTATGGTTAAGGTTTTGATTGAGCGTTCTAATTTAGGTTCAAGTTATGGTTTAAAATAGAGTTCAGGTTTCAAAATAGGATTTCAGACTCAGGTTAGGGCGTTGAATTATGATTAGGGTTTCAAATCATGCTTTTAAACGACAGTTAGGGATTCAAACTTGGTTCAGGGTTTCAAACCAGGAATATGCAGATTGTGGGGCTAAGAGGATAACACACACACGCACACACAACCCTTCACCACGCCATAAGCAAAGCTTTTTTTCTGCTGTCCAATGCACTACACTGAAGGCAGATATTGATGTTGCAAAGAGGTACTGCATATCTAATCAATAAAAAAGGATATAAACCACAAATTGATACAGTATATTTTTAAATCTCGGTAATCAATATTGGCATGAGCGCAGAAAATGAGGAAGTTCTGTGCACATACAGGATGTATAACAGAAATAAAATTACCCTAACCTTAAATAAAATAGAATCCATACATCTAATTGAGAAGTCATGATGGTCTAGATTAGAACATGGGTGTCAAACCCAAGGCCCGGGGGCCAGATCCGGCCCACCACATCATTTTATATGGCCCGTGAAAGCAAATCATGTATGTTAACTTCCATGACCCTTGCTAAAATCTGTATCGAAATGTCAAATTGTCAGGAGAAATAAATAACATTGAGATCTTGCGGTAATTTTGTTACCCTGTTTACACTTACTTGAACAAACTACTGTACTGTACTATAGTTGACTTGAGTGATTTCAAAACTTAGTAAGACACCAATTTGTTGTGTAGAAGTAATGAGACAATGAGACGATTAAACATTTATTTGATTTCACTGTCGTAACGGCCCTCCGAGGGAAGACTTAACTTTAAAGTGACCCGTGACAAAAATGAGTTTGACACCCCTGGTCTAGAAAGAAATGGACATTAATTTTATTTGTAAATGTTTCTCTTTTGATGTCAGTAGTAAAGTTGAAATCATAATATCCATGAATAAAATCTGACATTATTTTGTAACTTTTGTTTAAACAGGCACACAAATACTGATGGCCGTTTCCCTGGACTCATCACAAAACAGGAATTTCTGTGTGGTGTGTACAAATTGCGATTTGAAACCGCTCGGTATTGGGAAAGTATGGGTGAGCCCTCCTTTTACCCATATGCTGAGGTGAGACTTGCTTTCGAATGAATGTGCATTGAAAAACCAATCTCTTTCATTGTTTTCAATGATGTGACCCCTATTATAGGAAGGCATAAACATCCTCATTTCTGGTACTTTTTACCACATTTCTGCTACAGTTAATTCATATTCAACATAACTGACTGTCATAATTACCGTGCCAGTTGAATACATTTGCATTGTGTTTTGTTTCAGATTGTCTTCACGATAAGTGACCCGGACCAAAAGTACCACATACCTCTGCTCTTGAGTCAGTATTCGTATAGTACGTACAGGGGGAGCTAGCGTCCAAGTGTCTTTCTCTTTCTTGGAAACATTCATCTCATTTGACTGACGTGTTGCCTTGCCATTCCGCACAAATGTGCCAAACTTACTTGTATTCATTCCAAGAATAGGGTGTCACAACCAGTATTAGTCTTTTAAATTAAATTATGAATATGTAGTGATGCATTTAGGTGTCATAATTTAAATCCACTTCATGTATGTTTTAGATTGTGAATCAGATTATTAAACATGGTACTGTACATGCTGTCTGTTATATGTCTTCCTTTGTACGCCGGATGACTTACGCAGTGTGTACGTATACCGATTGTCAAAATGTGAGACCCCAAAAATAACAAGGAAAACAAATCTGCAAGTGTGTGCTTGCTGCTCCTGCATTTGATGTCTTCAAATGTCTTTGATGGCAACATTTTCAATCCACGAGTACGTCCATGTTGGATCCAATGAGACTTAACGTGCAAACTGGCTGCTCAAAATATACAAGGGATCGACCAGAAATAGCAAACGATGTGCACACTTGCATGTCATTCCACAATTTTTGAGAAATAATGTACTGAGGCAAGATTTTTGGAGCCCCCGGTGTGCACAAGGACAAGCAGGGAGGCACTTCTAGGCAGTGAACATTGCATCGAAGAGTAGTTGCTTCAAGTTTGAGAGGGGGCACGCTTCAAAGGTGACAAAAAAAATGCCATGCTGAGTATTTTTAATGAGGTGAGAAATGAGCTTAAATTTCACTTTAAAAGTTACAATTAATCACGAAAAGTTTACCTTACACAGTAACGATATTTTAATTTACCCTGTAATTGTTCTTTATTTTTTATGGCACTTCATTGGATTTTTGTATTTCTATACCTGTACTTTATGTTTTTGGAGATATCCTCGTTAAATTCTTCATAAGAGTAAATGGGTGTAGCTCTGTCGGTTCCAGTCTGCCCGCGATCCTCGTGAGGCTAAAAAGATTAGAAGACGCATGGATGGATGAGTGAAGCTCTGTGTTCGATAGCTTTAGCCTGTAGTTGATCGGTTCTCGGGGTTGATTACACTTCCCTGAGCTAGCCAGGGCCTCGCCCGCGATGCAATTGTAGTGTGCACATAGTTTACAATTTCTTACCGTTTTCAGTCTAGGCTCTCAAAAACCATGGCAGACGACGAGTTAGAGGCAATTAGACGGCAACGAATGGCAGAACTCCAGGCAAAGCACGGGGTAAGGTCAAAAGAGTGTTTTGGAAGCGCGTTAGCTCCCTAAAAAGGAGATGCTGAGAACACAAGGCTGCTTGCTAGTTTGACTGAACCTTTCATCTAGATTGTAGTAAATCAGAGCTGTCACGTCGCCGATATGTGTTACTGTAAAGTGAAACCGACGCAAAATGCACGTCAGGTATAATATGCGAAGTTTACTGGTAGTACTCAGTGAATCGTTGTTAGCTAGATTGCTGTCAACATGACAGTGCACACCCCTCTCATACTTGGACTGTAACTTGAACTGCTAATAGCGTCTTGCAGTTTACCAGTAAACGTACGAGTCCCTGAACACAGTATTGAAAGCCAAACAATTTTTAAAAATGCAAGCTTGTAGCATGGAATTAGATTGACCGTAACCAGACTGAAGAGCTCCCTTGATTTTTCAATGAAATATTCTGCTGCATAAACGTGTAATACACAAAGTGCTGATGCACTCCCACTCATGATACAAATGTTGTTTTAAAATCAAATGATGATCAGCATATAACCATGCATTATATGCGTCTTAAATAATATAGCACCGAATCGCAACAAACGTTTTCAACTTGTCATTACACTTTTATAAGATGCAGTCTATGTCCAACGCCTGTGAATTCGACAATCTAATGTAAGTTTTTAGAGCTTGACTCAAAGTACAATAGTAAATTGTAAAAATAACCAAGTATTGACTGTATTTTCGTCTTCTACGCTGAATGTTTAAATAGTAATTATGTGCTCTGTTGCTTCAGGATTCCGCAAAGAATCAGCAAGGAGAGGAGGCCAAACAAAGGTGACATAATATAGATTACTTTACAGTGCATGTAATAACCAATCCAAATTACGAAGGAGTAATAGGCACACCGAAGATGAAAAAAAATAAGTGTGATTGTCAAGATCAAGATGTCAACACAAACCCAAACAACGATACGAGCTGTTGCCGTCTCTCCACGAGCCGTGCCATGTTTTCATTGCCTAATATAATTACATATTTATTCAAAACACTTCTTGTTCGAAGTTAGATGATTGGGCAAACGTAACAAAAGTGGAGATATTAGTGCAATCGCATTATAGTGATCATATATGCGTGAAGCTTGCTCAAATTAGGAGCAAAATGTCTTCAAAGACTAGAGCAGTGCAGGTGCGATTGATTCATTCCCCAAGAATTCTTTTCTTTGTGTCCCTAATACTCCTCCTCAATAGAGTTCACATTTGAGTTGGTGTTATTACAGTATGTTATAAATAATTGTGGAATAGTAACATTGTTTTAACATTGACATTTCAAAATGTTATTTTTGCTTATGTAGTTAAACAAATGAAGTGTTTGATTCACAGAGAGACAGAGATGAGGAACTCCATATTATCCCAAGTTCTAGACCAGTCTGCTCGTGCCAGGTGTAAGTCTTTTCGATAAACTAATCACATATTTTCAATTTTAAATTTGCTGTTTGCCTCTCTGTGTTGATGATACAGCTGTTTTTGTCTCTCACTCATGACTATGTTTTTATTTTTTCCCCCCTTTCCCTACAGTGAACAGGCTTGCTTTGGTAAAGCCGGAGAAAGTCCGTTCAGTTGAGGATTATCTCATTCAAATGGCGCAGTATGGTTCACTAGCAGGGAAGGTATGTAAATGAGCTAAAGCTTGTAATGTATTTGTATTTAATGTAATTCTTTCATTGCTGTCGGACAGAAAAGTATCTCCAAATTTGGTCAAATTCAATTTTTATTTTTTAACAAGCAATACTTTTGTTCAGGGCTGGGCAAGATGGAAAATATCTTCCATCACTACATAGGCCATTTTATATTATGATTATGATATACCACTTTAGAGATATTTTCCATTATTCTATTTAAAAAAAAAAAGTTACAACACGCTATGACTGCCTGCCTTTTCTCACTTGAGTTTGAGGTTACATTAAACAGACATGTATCAAATTATACGTTTTTCCAGTGCGGGTGTAATATAAAATGAGCAAATGTAAACAGAAGAGGTACGGTAGCCAACAAATTATACAAATGTAGATAGATATCACTCAAAACAGGAACCATAAAAAAATGTTTCAGACGAAATTTATCCATCCATTCATTTTCAACACAATTTATCCTGAACCAGGTTGGGAGGGCTGCTGCAGCCTATGCCAGATAACTTCGGGCGGAAGGTTGATTACACCCTGAACTGGTCGTCAGTCAGCCGCAGGGCACATAGAGAGACAACCAACCATTCACACCCACATCCTCACCTTCACTGAGTGGGAACTGATCCCACGCTGCCCACACACAAGCCAGGCGAGCGTACCACTACACCATCAGTGACTCAGATGAAATAGATTAAAACCTTGTTATTTTTTAATTTTCATTAAACATGCATGGTAGGCTGATTGAACACTCTAAATTGTCCCTAGGTGTGAATGTGAGCGTGGATGGTTGTTCGTCTCTGTGTGCCCTGCGATTGGCTGGCAACCAATTCAGGGTGTCCCCCGCCTACTGAGGCGGGATAGGCTCCAGCACCCCCCGCGACCCTAGTGAGGATCAAGCGGTTCGGAAAATGAATGAATGAATGAATGTTAGATTTCATTTTGCGCAGTAACTTTCTCATCTATGATGACAACGCATGTGTCATGATTTTCACTTGCCTAATTTGTTGTTCAGTCTGCCACCTGGTGGCAGCTCCATGATACAAGCAGAGTGAGTGAAAGCTTGTCTCCATCAACTGAAGATGCCTTGGTCGTTCTTCTTCGCCGTTTGTTGTAATCCAACATAAGAAACATAAAAAGAGGACACGTGACAAAAGGCACGATAGGAGAGAAGTGGTACTATTTTCGCGATATCAATCGTCATATTGCCCAGCTCTACCCTTGTGGGAATGGGATTTTTACAAATTATTGGATGAACTAAAGTGTTGAAATATTTGGAGATTTAAAAAAATATCTTTTTAAATTAATTTTAAAAGGTGTCTTATATTATTGTTTTTATTATTTCATGCTTTTGGAGAAGTCAGGTTTCAACCAGACAGCAACTTTGTTTTTTCCTCAGACCATGTGGTGGTGGTGGTGTCCCGTCCCCCCCCCCCCCCCCCCCCCCCCAGAGTTATTACTCCACAGACAAGAATTTATTCTTATCTTTTGCTGATCTTTCCCCAAAATTAATCAACTTGGTTAAGGACGCTATAACCACTGCGTTGTAAATACAATTATTTTTTCCTCTTTCCAGATTTCTGATTCGGGCTTGGTTGAGATCCTAGAAAAAGTCAGCAAGCAAACAGAGAAAAAAACAACAGTCACAGTATGTTCCACTAATAGGTGACAGATTAATCTCAGCAACTCAGTCCTAATTTATCTAAACCCTTTTTTTCTCAGTTCAACAGGCGGAGGGTGATGGATTCGGATGAGGAAGATGATTAACTCACAACTGAGCCTGTTGAATGAACCAGGAAGTGAAGGCGATGTGTTTCACAGGAACTCTTTGACCATTGTGTTCCTGCTAGCACCCTGAATTGTCACACTTTTTATAGTGTCTCTCTGGAAATTACACCGCAGAAGGGGAGAACAATGAGATGAAATTGACTAAATGGTTTGAGAGGTGTTTGATAGAATGCACACAGTGTCAAATATTTTTGCTTGCGGTTTCATTTCACATTTGCATTACTCCTTTTGAATTCTTGACAACACATGACTGTTTTAATCTCCTGCTCAATTTTCATGAGATTCTTTTCTTCCCGGTTTCAAAAGTTCACCCACAGAATCTTGGAAAAAAACAAAACAAAACAGCACATGATGTGTACTTATATTACAACTCATTATTCTCCTGCCTGGGCCAGAAATATTGGTCTTCTTTTTGCAATCATGTTTCGTACATGTTTACACAAAATAAAAACAATTAAAAAGGCTTATTTTCTGCATTGTGTAAGTTTGCCTATCTCAGACCATTTAGCCTGACAGGCAGGGTACATGCTTTATATTTACATGCATGTAAACCTAGGTTGTAACTTATAACCACGATATTAAATTTTGGACTTGCATTTTTGATATACAGTAATGCCAACGTTGATCAGAATTTAATGGCCTGCTTGTTACTTGTAGTACAATCATCCAAGTTAATATGCTGTGATGCTATCTGTTTCACCGCAAAAGTAATACTGTATGTACAGTAATTCACAATTCAGAGTAAGTGGGATGATTTGATGGGCCGTTTTCACACCAGCGTGGCCAGATAATCTCCCATTGGCCACTCGTACTGTTGCGTCAAGAGCATAATTCTGATTGGTTACACGTTTGGCCACGTGTTCAATATCAACCAATCACGAACCCGATCATGGTGGCTCAGTGTTGTCAGTCATGTTAAGTTAGCTAACTTTGCTGCTAAACGCATTTTAAAATACGTACAGAAGGACTTTTACAAACACTGATTTGCAGAAATAGAAAGATGCCCGAGGATAGCATGGAGAAGACATACACATGCACAGCTCCCGTGAATATTGCGGTTATTAAATACTGTAAGTACCTTGGCTCAATAAAAAAATCGTCTAATTGTACGGTTGTACTTTTAAACTTAACGGATTGTATTGTACTATCGATGTTTTAGCATTCGATAAAATTATGTACATGTATGTTTTCAGGGGGAAAGAGACACGAGGACCTAATTCTACCCATCAACTCGTCGTTGAGTGTAACGCTTCATCAAGATCAGGTAAAAAACAAAATAAACAAAGCAAACATTAAAAAATACAGTTGATTGACTAAACATTTTCTAGACTTCGATTTCAAGGCAGCCAGTCAAATCCGACATACAGGTATTAAAAAATAGGACATGTCAAGCTGCCACACTAAGAAATTAATACTAATTTTCATGTTTGTCCGAGAAGTACAGACAGGTAAAATCGCATGTGTAATACTGCAGGAATTGGTCGGTTACTCTTTGTATGTACTGTAAGTGAGATTTACAAGACAGAGCAAAATTATCCTGTGAATACACTTGCGTTGGTCCTTCATTTATATCGCATTAATTGCAACGCGCAGAGGAACCCAAGTCACGAGTGAGAGTTTTAAACACTAAATTTACCAGAACTGATAAAAAAAAAAAAAAATGTGCATGCAATTACTGCTATCATAACAGACTACTACAACATACATTATGATTTTAACTTTCTTGGACCCCTCACTCTTATCCTGCTGTATATAAATGTATGTTTCCATACATTACTTAAGACATTTATTACACCACATGTCGTGAAGAGACAATGCGGCATGATGACATGCTTTAATGTAGATTGCTCAGATAATGGATGGATGGATATTTTTTAACTGTTTGGACAGGTATAAGGACATTCAAACTCATTTCAAATGTTGACACAAATTTGAGGTGGCTCAGTGGGCTTCTCAGACAAGTAAGAAATTAATGAAGCATTTCCAAAAAAAAACAATATATTATTATTGGTGTTAGTTGTTGACAGCTGTGCCATTAACCTTAGATTGGATAGTGGTCAAATTAATTTTTTAAGCAATTGTGTATTGTATTTTCCATCTTCAGTTGAAAACAACCACGACAGTGGCCACCAGCAAATCTTTTGAAGAAGATCGACTGTGGCTCAACGGCAAGGAGGAGGATATCAACCATCCAAGACTACAGTCCTGTCTGAGAGAGAGTGTGCTTTTTAAACTACTTACCAATATAATATAAGCATAGCTTAACACAATGAAGTATTCTCACATCCGTATATCCTGTGTCTGTAGTTCGACGTCTTGCCAGGAAAAGACGTAACGATGATGATCCCGGTTTGGATTCAACTTGTTTGTCTTACAAAGTTCACATCTGTTCCATCAACAATTTCCCCACTGCAGCTGGACTTGCTTCATCCGCAGCAGGATTTGCTTGTTTAGGTGCGTTGCTGAATTTCATTCAACATCAATATATAAAGCCCCTTACACACTGTTTCTCCACTTTTTTTCCAGTATACACACTGGCCCAAGCGTTCGGTGTAGAAGGGGAATTGTCTGGAGTGGCTCGTCAAGGTTCAGGGAGTGCGTGCAGAAGTATGTACGGGGGATTTGTCCAGTGGCTCATGGGGCATCAGAGTGACGGAAAGGATAGTCTTGCCCAGCAGGTGGAGCCAGAGACTCATTGGCCTGAGCTGAGAATACTCGTGCTTGTGGTATGAATGTGGGACTACTTTGCAAGAGGTTGAAGAAGGGAGTGTTGGGGCAACAATACAAGTTATGCCAGTTAAAGACAATCGTCTGTATTTGTTTGACAGGCCAGTGCTGAGCGGAAACATGTAGGCAGCACCTCTGGCATGCAAACTAGTGTGCAAACAAGTCATCTCTTAAAGGTATTATTTTTAACCTCAGCACACACCCATATTTCTATACTTGATTTTCAACAAGCAGTCGAGGGTTCACTTGGATGCAGTACTCAATTTGTGGGAAAAACATAAAAGTTGTGAAGGTTGGCAATGTGACTGACCTGTCCTGGACTGGCTAAACTGAATTTACACTTGATAAAAACATGGTCTATATCAGGGGTGTCAAACTCATTTCACATGGTGGGCCACATACGGCCTCGGTAGATGTCAAGTGGGCCGGACCATTAAAATGATACAATACTTTGCTATAAATAACCAAAACAATATGTCTTTCCTTTGTTTTGGTATAAAGAAGCACAAGAACATTAGGAAAATGTTGAAATTTAATGAACATATCTTTTACACAACATTTCATGAAGCACCTTACATTTCCTTCGACAAATGTGCAATTTACTTTTATCATTCACATATATGCATTGCAACTGATCCCACTGATTGTACAAACTTTAACAAGTAATTGGTTTTGAAAAATATAGTAATGCACTTTAAGATTAAACAAGATTCATAAAGAAAGCAAGTTTTAAAGCATTTACACGTGCATATAAAATCTAAATGTAATCCCTGCCTACACCTTACAAACTAAGGAGAGTGCTATTAAATGTGTAAATGTGAGAGTGCTATTGATAGCGTCTGCTGTCATGGGTCTGTCTCAGTGACAGACTGAGGCTGCTGTTGTCTTCTTCTCTGATCAAAACAGTGTCCCCTTGCGGATACTCAATGAATTGCACCTGATTAAAAATATTAATTCTGTGTCTTTAATGCATTTTTTTCACTTTTACATTATCCTGCGGGCCTGATTGAACCTACTTGCGGGCCGGTTCCGGCCCGCGGGCTGTATGTTTGACACCCCTGGTCTATATGCTACAGAGATAGCAACTTGGACTCTCGTCCAAGATGAAATAACCGATAAAATTCTGTATTTTGTAGCATCGTGCCGAGTCTGTCGTCCCAGACCGTATGGTTGAGATGATTAAAGCAGTGCGCGGGAAAGACTTCACTGCATTCGCTGAACTCACCATGAAGGACAGTAACCAGTTTCATGCCACCTGCCTGGACACATACCCTCCTATATTCTACCTCAACAGCGTATCTCATCAGGTCATCAATCTGGTCCATCGATACAACAGTCATTACGGGCTGACCAGGGTGAGCAACATTGCGGTCGGGCATTCTCCAAAGAAACGTCACCACACTGGAGACAAGTGATGGAATTATGTTTTAACACAAGAGTACAGTTTTTCATTATTGCTTTTGGTGTGAAGTGTGCTGAACCTTGAATACGATTCAATGAAAGTATACAAATCAGAAATCATCTAGATGGCTGCTGTTACCAAATACCCCACTTGTCTAACTTCCTTGTCGTTGCTATTCGGAGAATGTGTGTGCATGTACTGTGCAGCTGTATTTTCTGACATGCTGTCATGAGGATGTGAAACCTGTGTGGTGTTCATTGTATGTGATAGTCTGTGTATTCCTGTAGGTAGCCTACACCTTTGATGCCGGGCCTAATGCTGTGATATTCACTTTAGAGCAGTACATTTCTGACTTTATTCAAGCAGTCCGACATTTCTTCCCTGCACTGACCAATGGTGGCGAGTGAGTAGAAAATTGTCAGTTATTTTGTCCCTACATTGAATGATTTTTGTGTTTAATGTTTATGACAATGGTGTTGCTTGTATCCCATTTGGAGTGTGTCCTGTAACTTCCTTTTGTGTAGGTTTATAAAAGGTCTTCCAGTTCCTCATGCAGATCTTTCTGAGGAATTGAAACAGGCCATTGGATTGGAGCCCATGCCTAAAGGAATTAGCTACATTATCAGCACGAAGGTATATATGTACACACGCATACCTAAGTCACACCCATGTCATGCTTATTGCTGGTTGAAATTCCATAGTTAAATCTAGGGATAATTTCAAAACATACCCTAGAAGTGATTTGGTCGCATTTGTATAGTCTCAAGTTTGTCAACAAAATTTACTGAAGCGACTTAAAATTGATTGGTGTATTGTGACATTATACATCAAAACATTGACACTATCCCTCCCTATAGATTCAGTCCTTTTCCTGCATGACATAACTTTTTTTTTTTTTTTTTTTCTTTCAAAGCCTGGCCCAGGTCCTTGTGTTGTGAAGGATCCCACACAGCATCTGCTTGGACCTGATGGATTACCTAAGAACACTGTTAAGCAGGATTCACATAACAGAAACAGACATAAAAACTGTGACGGAGATATCACCGCAACTCTATAGCTGAGTCATTGCCACATTACAATTTTGATGCTGTGTCTTCCTTTAGCAATCACATTGTCTTATATTTTAAACTGGTTTGTGTGCTCTTTTTCTATAGTACTAATTTGAAATGTTGAATAATGATAATGAGTTATGTAAGGTAGGCTATGATCGAAAACAAAACTCAGTTTTCGTTCATTTTCACTAGGCATTGAACCATAAAATGTGTGCTGTTTAAGCAGCCCTATCAAATTAGATATGATTATATAATCTACAGTTCTGAGATCTGATCATGTCATTGAAAACATTGTCTTACACTGAAATTAAAGACAGTATTGTATGAATGTCCTGCTTACACTGTTACTCTGTAATTCAGATCATTTCTGTGTTAAAAATTGTGGATCAGATGCTCGCAAATGTGGCAGGGTCAAATTGTACATTATGAACAGGTACAAATGCAATAAAAACCACCCAGGTGCCTTCAGTACAGTATATTAAAAACAAACCAAGCGGTTTATTTGTGAACACTGTATAGGGGTCATTTTTGGCTGTTGCTGACTGACTGACTGCTCACACAAAAAAATACCTTTGTATGTTAGACATGGTTTTTTTTAATTTATTTTTTTTAATGTTGGTTACTTTCAGTATAATTCAAATTAATCATACAGTCCCTAATCTTAAAACAGCTTCACAGGGCTTCACCAGCCCACAGTTCATGAAAATCAATAATATCCTCTTGTCTGTGTCCCCCACCTGAGCAAGGGAAAACTCAAAAACTCAATTTGGGGTGGGAAAGGAAGGGGGCATAGAAGAATCCCCATTAGAAGCATCGTTCAAGGAAGGAATACCAGGCTGCAATGGATGCCAAGTGGGCAACTTTATAATACTGTATAGTATGGTGCTGTACAGTGTTCGTCAAAACGGCATGAAAGCTCATTGAAATGAAATGCGGATCAACACATTCCAGGAGGTGGATGTTGGTCAGGACCTGTCCCGGTTGAACGGTGCAGATTCCCATCAATCATCGCCACCTTCTCCAAGTTGGAGATCAAGCCCCTTCTCCAAGTTGGAGAAAAATGGGGTTGTGCAGCACAGTACCAAGTATCCCAAGCTATTGACCGGTGGCTGCGACAAAGTAGCGGTTCCCAACTTTGTGGGCTTGTGTACGCCGAAACATTTTGTCATACCGTCCCAGCGGGCACGTGGCATCAATTTGAATTGACATCAGATGCCCACTGGAATGAGTACACCCTCACTCGTAGATGTTCATGATTCTCCAAAAGTAGACCACGACACAATTGACCATGAAATGAAAATCATTTTATTTTGATTTCTTAATTTGAACATTTAACTCTTCGGCATTGTCTTCTTAATCAACTCAAATAACATGGAATATAAATAACTACAGTAAATTAAAAAATGCTAATCAAATTAATAATATACCTGCCTTTGTTATATATAACAACGACAACAAAATGGAACTTCTTTGAATAATTCCCCTCATAACAGGCATTTAAAATTTTACTATTGGAAACAAAACACTGAACAAAAATAATTTCCACCCACTATACCAGTTATACTTCCTCTTCGTCGGTTATCTGATCTTAATGAAACACTTGAGTTGACAAGTGCTGTTATGATTTTGGCTGTCATCGATCTAGGAAATAAATTGTATATGTTTGCACGTACCCCCTTGCAAAGTGCTCGCATACCCCTTGTTGGAGACCAACCACTGTTTTTGGACAAAACTACCACAGGTTACAATTAACACACAATAAGTTACAAGAAATAGACGAAAACCATTGTTTCTGTTTAATTATTGTTCGGGATACTTATCTCTAACCACCCATTATATTATTTGTTAATTTCTTTACATTTCGGTGGCTAATACAGTACGTCTTATCGACGTCATTTTAAGCGTCGCGTAATTATAAAAATGACAAGAAGACCAGTTTATTACCACTGAAGGACATTTTTTTTACTGTTTCTGTTCATGTTAGTAGGAAGACCACGATAAAACGTTTTCATTGTAAGCATTTACTTTATTTGAAGTAAAATAAAACTTTTTTCACGAAAAGGGGATTCACGGACATAAATGCATCACTCCAATATGACGACGTTGACACCGAAAATGACGTAAGGGGGCGTGTCTCAGGTAGGCCCCAGCCTTACTTTATTTCCAGCTGCGTGGGCTCACATTTTACATCAGAGAAAACATTTCCTCGTTGAGGGTGCACCGAAGCCAACATGGGGAAGATCGAGTGGGCTATGTGGGCCAATGAGCAGGCTCTGGCTGCTGGACTCAGTAAGTTCATCTACTTTTACATCGAATTGATCATGTTTTTCATTTGATATTTGATTACTTATACGGATATGATAGGAGTTGCCACTATTTTCTGTAGCTATTGGTTTGCAAAGTTTTAAATAACAAACACATCTTACCAGTATTTAAATTCCAATTTCCCATTTTTTTTCTGAATTCAAATCACTGTTACTCAAGTATTCATTTGTTTTTGTAGATTAATGAGCGGCCTGGAATGTAATAAGCATCTTCCTACTTCCTTCTTGCAGTTCTCTTTACCGGAGGCATTGTAGGGGTGGCAGGGCTGTTCAGAGGGTGGCAGTTTGCTGCCTATGCTGTGTATCCTTTGGAATTTCACCAAGCACCTTTAGCTTAAAGGTATTTAACTCACTTTGTCTCTTTGTGAAAATGTCCATTTTATAGACCGGGAATGTCCTCATCAGTTTTAACCTAAAATACGCAACTTGGATAGCTTTTATACTGTATAGCTATAGGAAATCAATGTCTACGCTGCTGCAGAAATATGATAAAATGTTGATTAGCTACTGTTATCAATTTAAAGAAGTCACAAGTTCATAGCCATATACTCAGTGTCCTTCCCTTTAGTTTACTTCTTCAATAATGTCAGAGTCCATGAGGTGATGTATGTCCAGGAGGCTTAATTCCTATGTAATTATACATGTTGGCAAACCTGGACGTTAGCAAAGCCTTGACAGTGTTGCGCAGTGCTGCTGGCCTCTTTGTGTGTCTGCTGGAGTACCCGAGAAGCAGAAGGGCAAAGGGCACTGGTGTGGAACGAAAGTAAGTGATGCCATTGCATCAATCAATCACATTAAGGTCGAAATTGGGGATTGGTTAATGCTCATTCTCTCCTAATGTTCTGTTCTCAGGTGGCAGTACGGTTTGACTGTGTGTGTGAAAGCTTTCGGGCCTCTGACAAGGAACTACTACGCCAGAGCATTTTTACATGCTGCGTGAGTTGAAAGACATAGCCGCTTTTCTATGCTTGACAGCATTCCTTCCAATTAAAGACTTCTCTATTGTGTTGCTACATCGACCGAAATAACGACTTACGTCTGTTTCCCAGGCTATGTATTCCTGCTGGGTTTATACTTGCTACTGTCCTAGGATGTGTCTGCCTTGGTATCGCCAGCCTCATTTACCTCTCAGTAAGTCAAATATTGCTTCAGTATTTTTACATTTTATTCAGCCCATGCAGGAAGTTGGTGGAAACGGTTACAAGGAAGAGATTGTTTCATTACTAGCACGGCTCTTGAGCCATAGAGCTGATTTCTGCATACCTGAAATCTAACCAGGAAGAGGTGCGGCTGAGTTTTTTTGGTCCTTGTGTCATTTGCTAATAAAGTGCCTCATGGCCCTACTTTTCGAAATTATTTTCGCAAGTGGTCCACAACACAAAGAAATGAACTTGAAATCTACCTTGGGGCATGAGACGATCATTTGGTTCTTGACTTTTATTTTTTTTATTTATTTTTGTCCCATTTCTTGCTATTTAAGGCGGCCATCCATGGGGAACACTGGGAACCCATTCTCCCAAGGGTGGAAGTTAGAAGGCCAGCTCCAAGCATTAAGAATCCCCCTCAGAATCCTCCACCAAGACCTCCAGCAGAGATGCGTCGGAAAAATATCGATGACTTGGAAGGTGCCTCTTACGACAACCCCATGGCTGTCATTGATGAGAAGTAACCTGACTGGTTTCCTTTTCTTCATCCTGCGGTTTTGCTGAAATGCTTACAGAGGTTCAGTGAACCTTGTGACTACTGGTAAAACCGTTCCATCAATCGGTGACAGTGTGAATGTTACTTGTTGGGGGGGGAATGTCACAATGCATACATTGCAGCTGCTAAATGGATCACATATAACAACTACAGATGTTTATATATCTACGCTTGTGATTTTTCTTTTTCTGATCCCTCAGCCTTATCTATTAGAGCTTTGCATCCACTGGAATGCAGTTACACACACCCATTCATGTAGTTCTATTCCTCAACAATTCGTTTGGGTGAATTTGACATTTAAAAAAAATGCTTTGTACTATAGTTTTCTCTACATGATGTAAATAAATCATTATTTTTGTCAGGTCTACATTTCAACGTGTCTCACTTCTCCTTTGAAACATGAGGTTATTTGCAGCTTCCCTTTTTGCAAACACCCTGAATTTCAATATGTTAAAATTTCCCCTCGTTCCTGTTTCCTGTATTGTTCCCCACTTGGACAGTATC